GTCCACACGCACGGTCCAGTAGGCTACATGAGATACAGTTTTTTTTTTTTTTTGTCTGACCCTGTCAGTCAAATGCAGATTCGACAGGTCTAGAAATGCTTCAGAAATGACTGATGCTTTGAATCGCTTTAGTCACATGACGTGGGTGTTTCAGATCATGCTTTTGCGCAGTGTTTTGAAACACTTGCGCTTTAGGATCTCGATACGGTGTCGAAATGTCAGTTTCACGTTAGCCATCCCTAGTTAAACATTGACTGTATGACAATTGTAAATAAAGCTGCATTTGGATCAAACCACTGTTACCACATCCTATCATTACACTAAGCGTTGAGGGGAAACAATCACACCTGATATTGAATCACTGTTACTGAAACACTGATTTTATTTTTATGTTCACAGCATTGCAATAAAACAAAAATTGCCCAAAATTATGTGGTTAAGGTATTAGGGTATTGCATTTAATGTAATTTACATTCACCTATTAGCAAACACTTATGTTGCTAGTTCAACGATCTACTGTTTATCCAAAACTGTAATGATGAAGTTTGTATGTTTGTGTCAAATTGAACAAGTCTAGACATTAGCCTATTTAGGCTTTCACCATGACATACGACCGAACAGAGCACTTTGAAGAAGAAGAAAGTGGGGAATTTCATCTCTACTCTTCCCACCACGGCTCCATCAGGAACGCACAATCCCACCAGTTTTTCAGCCAAATACAAAAGAGCTCTTTCGAGCATCAATCTGGGCTCATAAATACTGTATGATGTGGGTTCCAGCGGTTTGGACGGCTTGACCTTGACAGACACAGCATTCATGTTACACGTGGATTAAACATACCTGCGATGTCTAACTAACACACAGAAGCCTTCTTTGAACTTGATGTCACCCTTGAGCTACAAGTTATTAAAGTCGTTTTAAGGCAATTAATATACAGGACATGATTCCCCATTACTGCTTGATTTCTCTTCTAGCCGGCACTCCATTATAGTCACCTCTCTTTCTCCTTGGTCGAGCTCACTGCCCACGGTCTGCAAATTAATTCTGTCCAAATTATTCAACATGTCTCACGGCTCACCTCACAGTTTATCCTTATTAGCCAATGCGAGGGGAATTTTCTCAGCAAGCTTGTGATATCTGGGTCATTCCATGTCAACACGCCATTATAGGCATCTGCGACAACTCCAAGGTTTTTCTACAGCGGTGTTTCTCAACTGGTGGGATGCAGCCCAAAAGTGGGTTGCAAAACAGTATGATACATATGAATTAAAAATGTTATTGCAAAAATAAAAATTGCATGCATGTGCTATGACCCAAAAAATTATTTGAGTGGATTGCAGATGGTTTTTAAAATGCACATCTTTGCTAGATGTTGACGCTTCTGTCAGACACAGTTCAAGTGCACCTGAGAAAATCATCTCTTTAATTGCAAACACATTTGCAGCATGCACACTGTATAGGACTTCATTATAAATAAAGAGCTAAGTAAATAATCAATCAGCACAACTAAAATTGATTAAAAAATCTCAATTTATTTTTCCCAGTAATGGTTGCAGATGGAAGGGCATCCGCTTACTAAAACATATGTTGAAATAGTTGGTGGTTCATTCCACCTAGCGACCTCTGATAAATAATTAGGGTTGGGTATTGTTTAGGGTCATTTCGATACCAGTGCTAAATCAATACTTTTAATGCTGTACTAAAACTGAAATAAGGAACCGAAATTCAGATGGTGATTTGGTCCGGTGCATACTGGTTACATAAATACCTAGAAAGAATTAGGTACACACAACCCTATAAATAAATGACTAAGCCTAAAGCAAATGAATAAATGAATGAATCTATTTATTGGTAATTGTATGACTTATTTAAAAGGTACTGGTTTGGCATATCGGTATTACTTTAATTCTATTAAATCAAGTGCAGTTTCCACATGGTTCATTTACATTACACAATTTTTCATTAACTTCAACATTTACAATTACTAGTTTAACAGACGCTTTTATCCAAAGCAACTTAGGACAAAATCACCTAAAATTACCAAAGATCAGCATTCTATAGATGCCATGACAAGTCTAAGTTAGTTTTTCAGGTTATTTTTATCAACATTACTGAATCTACTGAAAGGGTGCTTGTAGGCAAGTATATATACAATACATAAAGAGGAAAGAGTGCTTCTTACAAGTGGTTTATCAAGCCCACTCACCTGTGTGAAGCACAAACAGAATTGCACAATATTTTCCTAGAAACATATAATGTTTATAAGAAAGTGTCCAGTGCAGGGGTGATCAAACTCGGTCCTGGAGGGCGGTGTCCTACATATTTTTAGTTTCAAACCCAATTAAACACACCTGAACCAGCAAACCAAGCTCTTCCAAGAGCGCATGTTGAAAGAAATTGGAGCTAAACTATGCAGGACAACAGCCCTCCAGGACCGAGTTTGGACCCCCCTTGTCCAGTGCAACATAGTGGTTATTCTCTTTTCTTGCTATTTTATATATTTTTAAAAAACTGTAATGAATTATATAATCAGTCCACAGTGGGGCTGTGCAATATTGAAGAAACATGTGATATGTGATAGCATGCTAAATAAAGCAGTATTTGATTTGTGATATGATATTTAATTTTATTTTTATAACCAGTACGTTTCATCTTATTTTAGGAAATGAATGCATCACTACATCTTCTGAACAGCTTTTTTCACTGTTGCATAAGACAAATTTGAACAATTTATATGTACTTAATGTATATAATAAAAAATATTAGAATGAAAAAAAGATAATCACCACAACTTTTCTTTGCTAGTATAGTTTTATCAACCTGAAAACATCAAGAACAATCAGGAGAAGAAGAAAAAAAAAACACATGAAGCATAGCAGTTACTACTTTGGTGTCTTATTGCTTTCTTAATATTGATTGTTATGAGGCTGTACTTCAGCATCCATACTATAGTTAATAGTTTGACAAATAAAAGACAAAATACAGCATGTCCACTTTGTTTGGTTTCAGAAATGCGTGTTTACATTTAAATAAATTGTCACTTTAGAATTGTAGAGTTCTATCTAACATTTTTGTCAAAATTGCATTCACATATTCTTATTAAATTTACATTGTGATATTTTTTATAAGATAACATTATAATTTTACATTACATTAAGACTTTTTAATCAAAAAAACAAAAAAAGGTTTTATCTGCAAAGTCGAACTGGCTCTATAAGGTTCTTTCAGTGAGCCAATCAGCATTTTGAATACACACACGAGGATTAATCAGGATTAGCTTTCTTTTTCATTTCGCTAAACTGCTCCATTGACAGCGGGAAAGACCAGAAGGAAACACAAAATTAGAGTAGACTAAATAATGTCACACCGCACAAAATTGAGAAGAAACTTGAAATTGAAAATATGTGTAAATGTGATGATTTAGAACCATTTTTTAATTCATTTTTTTTTATGTAATATATCAAATGGAGTGAAATGGAGTATATATATATATATATATATATATATTAGTTTGGAAAACTTTTTTTCAGTGTTTATTAAACTAATTTGCTCATTGTCTGTTTTCTTTTAAAGTCTTTAAATTTTAGAGTAAGCCTTGAAGGGCAAATATTTAATTCTTGGGACATGTAATATCATACATAAAATTAAATAGTTCATATAAAGCATTTAAGAAATATTACCATATTAATTACATAAAATTAACAAATGTAAGAGAATTTTGATCATTTAAATTGAGTGTACATTTAGGGTCTCTGTCTTGTTAATGTATGAAGTAGAACTGTTACACACCTATTGTTTGCTCAGTGGAATGCCAAAACTTTAAAGCTCAATATCTCAAAATCATTCAGAACGCAGATAGAACCTTATAATTCAAAGGCCACAAAATGTCTGAAAAGTCTCTGCAAACCTATAAATTGATATACATAGCACGTTAGCAATATTTTATCATTCAGTTATTCATTTTCTTGTTGGCTTAGTCACTTTATTAATTCAGGGTCGCCACAGCAGAATGAACTGCCAACTTATCCAGCACGTTTTTATGCAGCTTATGCCCTTCCAGCCGCAACCCATCTCTGGGAAACATCCACACACTCATTCACACACACACTCATACACTACGGACAATTTAGCCTACCCAATTCACCTGTACCACATGTCTTCGGACTGTGGGGGAAACCAGAGCACCCGGAGGAAACCCAGGCGAACGCAGGGAGAACATGCAAACTCCACAAAGAAACACCAACTGAGCCAAGGCTCGAACCAGCGACCTTCTTGCTGTGAGGCGAAAGCACTACCTATTGCGCCACTGCATCGCCTAGCAACATTTCAATAACTTCAATATATTGCACAGCCCTAGTCCCCAGTTTGGGGCAAGTATCTTATCTCATCCTGTGAGTTTTAGTCATATTCCTTTAATGTCTGTGTAAAGTGAAAATTTTTACATGGTATTTTTGGTATTTGTGTTGGCTTCTAAATTAAAAAAAACAAGTAAACAAACAAAGGTTGTGGAAAATGCAGACAAAATGATAAAGCCAGTTGAAAATCACTATTCTACAGGATATCAGCTGAAAAATGTGTTGGCATATTTTCAGATCTTGAGTGGTGGAAACTCATGCAATACGCTCATAGAATGCAGTTGTTCAGAGGCAACCTGCACTCCGTCCCTTACAGAGATTTATATGAGAAGCTGTCAGAAAGCCTAACCAAAACACGCAACATGTGGATGTGGGCATTAACTCAAACTACCATCATAACATGCTCATTGCAGCAATGATTCTACAAGGAACTGTCCTACTTTCTGCTCTCCAGATGCTGGAAGATTCTGCACATCATCGATCACGAAACTACGTAAACATCCATATGGATAGTCACATTTGCTTCAATAACTTTCAGCTTAGCAGTCACTCCATTATTTTCAGACAAAACCATCTATTGACTGATGTGTGAGTGGAAAACAAATGGCACAACATCAAACCACAATCGACAACTGCAGAACTTACTCTGTTGGTTTAAACAGGGGTTTACTTCCCAGTCTAAACAACGGCGTGTCGCTGTCCGTCACGGTGCCTTTTCTGAGGAGAAACTTCTCAGCTAAATCAAATCCTGTATACAAGAGATGGAAAAGAAAAACATACATTATATTTATGCATGTGCCAGACACTTTTATCCAAAGCGAGTTGCGGTATACTTTGTGTAAACATTTTGGGAATTGAAAACATGACCTCAGCTGTTGCAAGTACCATGTTCTGCTCAAAGAACAACGTTAGCTTCAGGCTAAAGAGATTTGCAGCAAATGTTGTCCTATACAAACCGCTGAACAAACGTTTTTAGTCTTTTATGTGGAAGGATAAATGTTAGTTCTGTAAACAGTCTGCTTTTCGGCCTGTTTTTAACCTTTAAGCATTCAAACTTCACCAAACTGTACAGAAGTCATTAAAACTTTATTTTGTAGCTTTAAGCCTTAGCTACAGTGGTTTACAGTTCATTTATACTAAAGGGTTTTAACAGTCCGCTTCAGTCTGATAGAATAAGCACTGACAGAAACAAGCATTCAATATAATCTACAATGGCAGTGATATTTGCATTCCATAGTGTGATTGGGTGTTTTCTTCTGCACTCATTTGCATTTTAATGACATTGTCATATTTGCATTCCACATTGTGATTGATTATTTGTCTTGCACTCATTTGTATATTAATGATACTGTGATACCATATTGTGCTATTTTTCTTGCACTCATTTGTATTTTAAATAGTAATATATTGCAGTCTAAACAATATCCTTTCTAAAAGTGATGTCAATAAGATTATACAATAGGTCATTTTCATTTCGCAATTCAATTTAAAACTTTCTAACTTACTAAATATTATTTCAATTATATATGCTGTTTAAAGGTGCAGTAGAGGATCTGACTAAATGCTAACCATTAGCATAATAACTTTGAAACATATTTCCCTCCCCCCTGCCGCCCAAAGCCACGCCTCCTAAAAATCACGAATGTACACAATAAAGATGACAGTAAATAACCCACTAGATCATGTCACTAGGCAGTTAGAAAACTTTAAAAGTACTTTATAATACTACAATTCCGAACGAAAAACTGTTTTATATCCAGCACATTTTCAGTTTCAAGCAAAACTTGTCATAATGTGCAATATTTCATGCATGCAAGGCGCTTTGGCCTAAAGTGACTACTGCATGCTTAGTGGTTGGCCACCAGGGTAAAGGAATTACTCTTATTACTAAGCCATACTTTTCACAGAATATTCAGAGTAGCATGATAAACAATAAAGGGAGTGCATCACAGGTTGTCATTGTTCAAAAATAAACCAATGTGAATATAAAACCAACTTCACCTCAGCAAAGCAGGCTAGGCAGAATAGCGCTATTTACTTATGTTTTGTTGTTAAACTAAATCAAAATCTACATTATCGATGCTGTAAAGGGTACTTTGTCAAATTGAAAATGGCTTTAGATTTCAGTGGCTGAACAACACTTCCATGCATATGACACATTCGAAAAACAACAAAATCTACATCAGCTTTGCCTGACTAAAATAGTTTTAAAACATAACATTACCTGTCTAAAAGAAATACTTTAGCCATGGTGTTGTCCTTCCTCCAGCGTGCAAAAGTAACTCCAATATTGATTCAGGATTTTCAAATGTTTTGATTCAGCATTTGTTTTTACTGCTGTCACTTACTTGTATGCACATGCTCACGTAAACGGCGGATCTGCGTAAAATGGGTGAGCAGATGTACAAATCTACATTTAATGACCGACAGTTTGGGCTATTTATTCAGAATTATAGGAATTATCGGCCCAACAAATTTTAATTGGATAAACATTTTTTTGTCTAATGGCTTACCCAGATTATAAAAATACATTTAAATACACATAGATCATTTACTTTAATCATTACTATTGGAATGTGAAGAGACAACAAAATGTTTCTGAAGACAAAATCACCTGCTGCACCTTTAAACGCCTAATCATCATGTTAAAATTATTTCTAAAGCTCATGTGGCACTGAAGACTGAAGTAATGATGCTGACAGTTCACCACTGCTTTAAAAGCATTAAGATTTTACAATACAGCTCATATATAATATAAATATATAATATTCAAAATAAACCAGCTTTTGCTATCTCTCCAGGCGAGTACATATACAAGCAACATTTCTTTCAAAAACATTTGAAAAAGAATGCAAACCGTTGAATAGTTTTGTACATCTAAACATTTTACATAGTGACTATTGATTTCTGTGTGCAGCCAATAGATAGAAAAATGCTCTGACGCTGCATTTCACAGAATCACATCTTAAAACTTTAACAGCATTCTCGAGCTGGGTTGCAAGGACTGCCATTTCCTCCAGGAAATGCGAAATTAGCTGTATAAATTGCTCTGTCAGCTTCAGCCATGGGTAACATTAGAGATGTTTTAAACAGCCGGTTTGATGTTTAACAGTGCTGCATGAGGACGAGCTGTGCTTGATTTCTATTTGTATATACAGCATTCTTTGTTTGTACCTGTGAATTCTCTGTGAAGGTTCACATTGGTGTGCCATTTATCCTCCAGCTTCAGGGGTGGACATGTATGATCTGCAGAGCAAAAGAATATCATGCATTAATGAAGGAATTGAACTGATTTGAGCAAACTAGTAATGCTTTAGCTTATTCAGTACACAGGAGACTGCAACTAGTTTTTTTTTTTTTACTTTTTACTTCACTTAATACTTAATATACTTTTTGTATATCTGCATACCTTAATGTATTGGCTATAAAAATGGCAACAAAATCCATACAGTTTGATGCACATGGTTAGTTGTCACAATGGGTTTTTTTCTTTAAACAACCTATCTGCATGTTTAGGCTATACCTGCCAACACTCTCCTTTTTCCCGGGAGTCACCCATATTTCAGACCCATCTCCCACCATCCTCCCGTTTTGCTATTTATCCCGGAAAACTCCCGTAATTTCACGTAAAGATATCAGTTAAATGGTTACGTTATGTTTAGATGGGGTATTATGAAAGCAAAAATCATTAAACAAGCCCAATAACCTTGATTTTTTAACAAATTATTCACATTCTCCATGATTTATGTACTTACAAGGTATTTGCCCACCGGCAACTATAGTTGCTGCTTGAACATTTGACAAAGTATACAAAATACAAAAAAAACTATAGATCTCTTCAAAGATTAGGTTCATTTGAATGAATCTAGAGACCTTCATGATAATGTTGATATACATTTTTTACATGAACAAAAAAAATATTATTAATATCATGAAAATTGCCTTTATTTGGAAGGGTTTGCATCCATTTTGCATCCTGAAGTGGAAGGCCTTATGTGACAGGATGTAAATCAATTCCTTTTTTTCTTTCTTGAAATCTTTTGGTTGTTTGCTTGCATGTCATTGACAAATAAACATGGAAAACGTAGAAAATTCCTTATAAAAGGAAAGTGGCAACTATGAACTTCAGCAAGTTGCCGGTAGGATTAAATGGGTTAATCTTAAAAGTCAATTTACATGAATCTGAAGTCATGCCAACATGACGTTTTTGGTGAAAAAATAGCCTAGAGCTCAATCTGCAGTTAAAATATAAGCTCAAAATCAGTTCAAAAGAGATATATTTAGAAAATCTCAGAAGCAATGCAGAAATATAGCTCTAATTGCAACTATTCCACACAATTGGTACTTTAGTTTCCATAGACCAGCCCATGTTCTTTTAGATGAACTGTCATGCCATTTTGAACTCACTACATTTTAGATATGTCTCATTTGGAATCATTGCATGATTGAGACTAAATTTAACATGGGTCAAAACACAGGAACAGCAGCACTTCAATAAATTGCAATGTGCCATGCCACATCTTCATTCATTCATTCATTCATTCATTCAATCATTTTCTTTTACAGCATAGTCCCTCACTAAAAAAACAAAAAAACAAAAAAAAAAAAAAACTTTTTTTTCTCGTTCAAACTACTGAGCTGAAACACAATTCTTGAGATTTCATTGGGAGAACTTCATTTTTTATGTTCAATCTACATAAATTTGTTAAAAGTGTTGAGTTAACTGAAGTAAACTGCTTTATTAATTTGGAGTCGCCACAGCCGAATGAACGCCTACTTATGAGCATTTGTTTTACGCAGAGGATGCCCCTCCAGCTGCAACCCATCATTGGGAAACACCCATACACACTCAATCACACACATACATTATGGTTAATTTAGCTTACCCAATTCACCTATAGCACATGTCTTTGGACTTGTGGGGGAAACCAGAGCATGCCACATCTTTAAAATACGAAAATGTATTTTACCACAGTATTCTTTATGAATTTTCAGTCCTGAAAACATGTAAGTCTATCCTGCTGCTCCTCATGGTGCTTACATTTACACACGGTTTCATCGCATTTAATGCTCGAACAACTAAATGAACGTTTAGGTTTATTTATTTGAATATATTATAATGAACTAAGTATTAAACTATCAATGCTGTTAAAGTAACCTTGTGAAAATAAAGATGAAGTCAATCCATCCTTTAGCAAATTTTATGGCTGACTTAAAACTGCTCCCTGCATAAGGTTCAGCATATTCCAAACAATTAGGTTGATTTGTTCTCAGAACTGTGAGACATACACTAAATGCTCATGACACATAAAACCCTACTAGTTACAAAGATCCCTTTGAGACAACTAGTCCTGGTCTCCGCATCTAATGCATTTGCAGCCTCATACTGCAGAAGGACAAATTCTGCTTAATCAACAATTATATCACATAAAAAAAAAGCTCACAGGGACGCAAATGCCAAAACACACAAACCTATCTACATCCACAGCCGCACACCGACATTAACGGAAAACTCCAAAAATCAGCACATCTGCTGGTAACTGCCGACTCTTAAGGAGAAGGGACACATGCTGTAAATCCTCTCCAAATCTCTTCCTGGATGTCACGCTCACACAGTGGATCACGGGAGATAGCAATTCACTCAGCTGGCAAAAATATTGCTTGCCTGTCTTCTTGTTCAGGGCGCACTCATTCGTGGGCATTTACACTGTGCAATATTATTCCTTAATCGCTTCAAGTTAATCTGAATGGGGCCAATAAATCGGACACATAACACCACAGCGGATGTGTCATGGTGCCTTCTGACTAATGCCACCCGGGTCAAGGGCTTGACGCCATGTCCTCGCATGAAGGAATTTCAAACAGCCATGCAAGAGTCTCTGTTTCTTAAAGGAGAGTGTGACGTCTCTCCCCAAAAACAATTTATTTGCATACAAGGACTACAAAGAAAGAAGAAGCAAGTAAAAACAGTGTGATAATTGAATATGATGACAGTGGAGCTCCTTGGTCAATGTTTTCATTTAAAAGCCCTTTTGTTACAAAATTATGGACACCCATTTCAATCTGGGTATAATAGCAATGCAATTAAATACAATAAATCAATCATTAAACAGTACAATGTATAAGTACATAACGGCAGGGTTGCAAAGGGGCAAAAAGTTTACGATACATTTTTGGAAACTATCTAGAAAAATTTCACGAGAACTTCATCTAGGAAATTTTCCAATTTGAAAACATACCAAGAATTTAAGGGAAATTACAGAAAATATATGAAAATTTGGGGGAAAATTTCAATAATAAATTTAATTATTGACTATTTTCTAATATAAACAGTGTCATATAAAAAACATAAGTATCAGTATTTTGTTTGGTCATAACCTGACATTCATGCATTTTTTTTTTCACTTTGATTTCATTGTAAGTGGAACTTTAATTCTTTCTTAGGTGTAATGTGTCCACACTTGAGTGTATGTGGCCTTATTCTGCAGAATAAGCTAAGAAAAACACTTTTTCATAGGCTAATCTTGATTGTGAATTGTTTATTCACTTTAATTCCTGTTAATTCCAATAAATTACTGTTAATTCCCATGACAATTCCCACAATTTTGCAACCCTTACTAAAGGTACCTAAAACTTATCTTGCAATTTGTAAGATTAAAAAACTAAAAAGAAAGGAGGAAGCTAAAAAAAAAGAGTGATAATTGAACATGACAGTGGAGCTCCTTAGTCAATATTTTCATTTAAAATCAATTTTGTTATACAATTATGGAAACCCATTTCAGTCTGGGTGTAATAGCAATGCAATTAAATACAATAAATAAATGGTACAGATGGTAATTACATAATAATGGTAGGGCTGCAAAGGGGCAGAAAGTTTATAATACAATTTTGTAAACTATCTAGAAAGATTTCACAAGAACTTATTCTGGGAAATTTTCCAAATAGGAAACTTACCAGGAATTTATGGAAATTTACAGGAAATATTTACAGCAAATGTTGCATATTTTGACAATAATAAATGTCATTCATTCATTCATTTTCTTTTTTAGCTTAGTCCCTTTATTAATCAGAGGTCGCCACAGCGGAATGAACCACCAACTTATCCAGCATGTTTTATGCAATGGATGCCCTACAGCCACAACCCGTCACTGGGAAATGTTTCTCTTGTGCTTTTTAAAAGAATTCTTAGATAGCATTTTGCAATTCTGCCTTCGAATCAGTTAACACAGATAAAACAAAGCTCTACTTGAATGTGATGACAGTAGTGATTAAAATCCATTTTGTTACACAATTATGAAAACTCATTTCCATATGGATTTTACAGTAATACAATTTAATACAATAAATCAATTTTTTAATACAATAAATCATTTCTTTTATTTCCTCATCTATAAGGGGTTAAATTGTTAGGGAAGAATTTGTTTAGTAAAAATAAATAACTAAATAAATTATACATTTTAAAAAAAATTAATATCTGTTTACATCTTGCAATACTTAAATTATAGATCTCAAATCAAAAGTATTTCCTGTAAAAACTCCAAAAAAACATAATTCTGAACTTACACCTTCCAATTCTGGCCTTTTTATTTCCTTATAATTGAGCTTAGCTTCTCTCACATTCCAAAATTTTCATAGTCCAGTAATGTTCATTAATCTTACCAACTGAATCTAAATGGTGCCAATAAAGCAATTCTACAGGACACATAACACCACAGAGGATGCATCCTGGTGCCATCTGCCTATAATGCCACCCAGGTCAAGGGCTTGGCGCCATGTCCTCGCAAAACAAAGAATTTCAAATAGCCATGCAAGAGTGTCCACTTCTTAAAGGAGGGCTTGGCGTCTTTCATCACAAACAATTCATTTGCATGCAAGGATTGCAAACAAGAGAGCTAAAACAGTGCGCTAATTAAACGTGATGACAGCGGCACTCCGTGGTGCAGACAACGTTGACCTCTCGTGCGGTGACGAACACGGCTTGAAAAACCAAACAGATGTAATCACTTCTAATCAAACCTTTTTTGTAAACGGACAAGAACAAGCAAACATCTCCGCGCTGGGCTCTTGGTGACAGCATACATACCTATTCTCTCATTCACTGCCATTCCTGAAGCAAAAGGAATGGAATTTACGATCCACAGGAAAACAGTCCATCTGAGATAGTGAATCATGTCGTCTTTGGCACATGAGAAAGGGCCCCTTGAAAACCTACAAATAGAAAACAACGTCACTTTTACAACTCTTTGATGGGTAACGCAACACCACTTGTTACTGTCTGTATGACAGTATTTTTTGGCATGCCTTTGCAACTCGGCTACTTTTTGTTATGCTTTGTTGATTTAAATCAGCATTATAGTAAGAGAATCAATATCAAACGAAAACAAAATTGTGTTGCGTAAAATTCGTCTAGAGCTACAATTATGTGGTGAAACGTCTTAACGCAAAATGTCAAGTGTGACATTTCACTCCTCAGAATAAACTGCAGGCCAGAGTAAGTTTCCAGCATGAGGTGCTTCTGGGGACCCAGTGCCAGATTCCTGTAAACTAATACGATCCGTTACCCACCGCTGACTGTTGTTATTGAGCTCTTAAGTAACAGGGCAAACAAATTGCTCTAAATTATTAAACACTTGGGCCACGGCTTTTTTGAAAAACACGCAGTTTTGCCGGCTACAATCAGTGGTGCATCGCTGCATATAAACAAAGTGAATTATTTTTAATGCACAACTCAAAGCGATAGGTTAAATTAAACCATTTTAACATTTTTTATGACTTCCAATTAAAGCATAAATCTAAACCTTGTACATACTGTAATATACAGTAGACATGATGTGAAGTTGCAGCTGTAAATATGATTCATAAATCACTTGAATAATATTTCGTTTCCAATCTGCACGTATGAATTTGTTCCACTCCTCAGCCATACTGAAAGCTTTAAAGATTAAGGAAGTTAAGTTAAAAATCTCTTATCAACCAAAAATTACACATTTTTGCAACATTGGATTAAGGACTGGATGATATTGAAAAAAAATCTGACATATTTTGCAATACTTTAAATTTTTGCAATATATTTATATTGCGATAGGAATATCATTTCACAAGATGAATTCAATAGCTCTATTTGGAAAGGTTTGGATAGAAAAAAAGACTTGATTATCCCAATTTATGCAATGCTTTTGCATAAATTATAATTAACCCTTTAAATGTCCCACCAAGAAAAACAATTTGCATTGCATTTCTCAACTCCTAACGTCGCTACTTAACACACTCAATGCATTGTTTTCAACATCCAATAATTTCTAAAATATCACCCTTTACCAAATGGTTGTTATGTTGGTTTATGGTAAAAGTACCAGAATTAATACATATACTATGAATAATCAGAAAATATAAAGCGTAAGACCAATCTATTTAAACAAATAATCAAAATAAAACATTTTTGAACACCAAATCATCTTTATTTTTTGAAGTATGCAATACAATATTTCAAATTCTCATTTTTTTTTTACAGTAAAACCAAAGTCAAGTGTTGTTGTGCAAAAGGATTATATTTGTTAGACTTTTTTTTGTAAACCAACAATGTTCTGTGTGTAAACCTTTATAAAAAAAACAGTCAGTCTTTAAATGACTTTAACAGTCAAAATATGGTCAACCATTTGGTAGAACAGACAGTTAAAGGGTTAAAAACAACAGAGCAAAGATAAAAGTTAAATAAAGTTGCATTTTATGTTCTCCTGTAGAGTCCAACAGTTTTAAGGGGTACAGAAATTAAACAATCAAACATAAATTAACATGGTCATCATTTTATAATTTATTTAAAAATAATAATATTTAATATTATTTTTAATAAATATTCTAAAAATGCAATGTGACTATTGTGGATTCTCACATTGCGATATTGATGCTTAGACAATATATTGTGCAGCCCTAATTGGACTAAAACTAGTAGTGATCATAAATGATCCATGATCCTATGTATAATTCGTATATTTTCTGTTTCATTCATATGAACAATATCTTACTTAAAGATGATAATGAAGATGCAAATTTTTAGATACATTTTATATAAAAAGTAGGATATTTGATGTGCTTAAGTTATACTTGAGTTATACTTATCTCATTCAAAGATTAAGTGTATTTAACTTACAGGTATACAATGGATATTGCTAGCTGTTTTCTTTCCACAGCAAGTCAAAAATGTTAGATTAACATCATATAAAAAGTAGAACAGGTGTTTTATGTGCTTCAGTTGTACTTGTTTAACGAACAGTTTTGAGATTGTCTATATTAAACAATTAAGTGCATTTGATTCAATATCATAAATGTTAGCTTATTTTAAAACCAGAGGTTACAATTGAGACTTTATATATACAAGTATGATATTCAATTCCATGTGCTTACATTTGACTTGTATGTTGTAAAATTTTGTATGGATAGTATAGGACTGAGTATTTACACTCTCAATGATAATGCTTAAATTGATTGAATACCATGAATACTAGATTTTACCCATTAATTGTCAACTTTCACTTTCTTAGATTAAGTATTTGACTCAACATACTTTGTCAAGATTTAAGATACACTTCTTATAAAATGTTGGAAAGTCAATTTAACATGTTCAAAGTGTACTTGTATTCATTTTAGTACACTAAAAAAAGACAATACACAAACAATAACTAAAAGTACTACAAAAAAGACATAAAAGCACTTGCTTAAAGGTAATAACAATTTTAAAAGTGCAATACACGAAAATTGGCTAAAAGTACTGCAAAATAACGAGATAAAAACACTTGCTAAGTGTAATATCAATTTATAATGTTCATACATAGCTAATTGCCAAAATATCAATCATGAAAAAGTTAATATTCCATGCTGTACAACTTAGCAACTTAAAAACATAGTAGGCTAATCAAAATCAGTGAAACAGTCACTTTACAATTGCTTTTTAGCATATTAATCCATCTAGATTTGCTACATGCACTTCAAGGTACTTTAATAATAACATATTTAAAATAGTTTCTTAAAACTTAAGCCAAACTGACCAGCAAAACCAAACGTCCACATCTGCTTGTATTCACTAAATATGTCAAGTGAGTGGTCAAAAGCGACAGTTTACTGCAGTTTCTCTGAGGAACCGAATGATGATAAATTAGCAATGCTGAACAGTCTCTCTCTTGCTCTCTCTCGCCCCTCTCTCTTTCTCTCTCTCTCTTTCTCTCTCTCTCTTCAAGTAACGTTACACGAACAGAACACACACTCACATGGCGTGTTAAACTCAGATGACATCAAACATGATCATTTCAAAACGACACTCTGCAAAAAAACAGAGACACAAACACCCACACACAACACCTACAAAGTCACAGCAACCAAAGACGGATGAACGCCGGCTACTTACATTTTGCGGAGAAAGTTTATTATTCCAGCGTAAACACACAGAGCACAAGCAAAATCCTGTTTGCTAATTAGCGCATTTTAGGCAGCTGTGGGTCCAAAGCGCACTTGCAAATAAAAGTGAGAATGAAGGCTCGTGCAGGAACCGTGTCCTTATTTGTCGCACCGCCTGACCCTCCCACCGCTCATTAGAGCAGCACATCAGGACGGACAGGACACTCGAGGCTCCCGCTGGAGAGCAGCACAACACACACACGCGCGCTGACACACAAATACCCAAGAACAACTTTTGCTTGCTTTTGTAAAGAGAACCATTTTGAGGTGAACTTTATGTAAAAATTAAGAGAGTGATTATTTTATTCTGTATTTTTGTTGTTTCATATTTTAATCAATTGTATCCAGAATGAACAGGCTATTAACTTTTCTTATATTGTTCTTGTTGTTGTTTCACAAACTGGAGACATTTGGAAAAAAACGTGTAACCTATACATATTTTAACAAATCGCCTTTTATTTTATTATAACCTTGTAACTAGTAAACTTTAAAGTTTAAGGATCATTTTATGTGCCCTACTTATAAAGTGTTACGATTTTTTCAAGTTTTGATAGTTATATATAAGCTATAAGCCTACATACAACAACACAAATAACCTTAATTAGACGTCAAAAATTTGAGACAAAATTGTTGAAAGCGTGCAATTTGTAATCAGTTACACATAGAAAATGATTAGCTTATGTATGTATTTAATATTGGTTTGTTTCTTTTTAGAAGTAAACCTATTCAGATAAACTTTTAATAAAAAGTTCATTTTAAATATGTTTATTTTATGCAATAATCCTTTTCACATATGTAAAACAAATGTATACATATTATATGCATATTATTAAATTATCAATGCCATTACACAACTGGCTAATAACTATGCCAAAACCTACCCCTGAAAGTAACTCATAGTGCTTCCTTCTGTTTTGTAAATGTTTGATACACTTACAGTAAATAAACTGCAACCATGCTATTAACATTTTCCTTATATGTTAAAACAAATGAATAGAAATGTATTTTAGACATTGGATGATTATTGGTAAGTGATATATTATATTATATTATATTATATTATATTATATTATATTATATTATATTATATTATTCATTTTCTTGTCGGCTTAGTCCCTTTATTAATCCAGGGTCGCCACAGCGGAATGAACCACCAACTTATCCAGCACGTATTATATTGGATAATACAATGGATGCCCTTCCAGCTAGTACTGGGAAGCACTATACACTCACATGCACACACATACACCATAGCAAATGTATGTCTATATGCTTTATTACATCAAATTATATTATATTATATTATATTATATTATATTATATTATATTATATTATATTATATTATATTATATTATATTTTATTATATTATATTATATTATATTATATTATATTATATTATATTAAAGCACATTCTTTTAAATAATTAATTGTAAAAAAAAATATTTTAAAAAAATTAATTGTTGTAAAATATTTCAGCTGTTACTTCTTTGTAAGAAAAATAATTTCCCTCTGTAGTTCATCTTAGGTCACTGGTTTTGTAAAGTAATTTGTTAAGCTAAATAAATAAATAAATAAATAAATATATATATATATATATATATATATATATATATATATATATATATATATATATATATATATATATATATATATATATTCTACAGCATTTTTTCCATGAACCTACTTTGGAAGGTACTATTAATTTAAATTGATTACCATCAAAGTCTAAGTATTTCTGCAACCTATTTTTTTTTATCTACATGCTTTCATATCGACTTCCTTAAAGGGATAGTTCAAACATAAAATAATACTTCCTCAGAATTTACTCATACTAAAGTACTTTTTACAATGTATTAACATATTTCTTTTGTTAAACACATAAGCACATGTCCTGAAGAACATCGTAAAAAGCAGCCATTGACATCCATATTAGAAAAAAAAAATTATGGAAGTTTGTTTGTTCGTTTTTCACATTATTTAGAATATATGTATTTGTGTCCAACAGAAGAATGAAGTTCAAGCAGGTTTAGAACTAGTGGAGAATGAATAAATGATGACAGAATTTTCATTTCTGGGTGAACAACCCATTTCATTTTTTAAGCTGAATTAAATGAACTTCACAAGAAATATCAACTCATATTACAATGAACTTAAATGACATTAGACGTTTAAAAAAATCAGACTGAATCTTATTGAAATCTCTTTTAATTGGTTAAAATAGCGTAACATCATACGCTGGTATGACGTATTGATGAAATATTTTTTTTATTTCTGTGAACTTTTAAAAAGCGCTATTCATTTGAAGTGAGATTTGCAGCACACTGTGACGTCTCACCTGACCATTTGATTCTTCTCACCAGCACTTCTGTGTTTACACAAGGCCCTCAACACAGATGAATAATCAGACGCATTTTTAGGATTGCGTTTGTCTCCACATCACCATGCAGCCCCAAAACAGCTGCTCTCAGAACAGCTGTTTCTCAGACAGGGAATCAATGAAGGCTCTCAGCTGTGATTCGATTCAGACTTGCGATAACATCATAATGTCCTCTGTGTTCTGCTGAAGAATGAGAAACAAGCACCTTCAGCCTGCAAAGGGGACGGGACGCACTGACAAAACAGCAATCAAAAATGTGCTGTAACAAATGCATATATATAATAACTGGTGTTAAAAAGTACCATCAGCGTCCAAGGTAACATATTGTTTTAAAATAGATAAAATATTTCAATAATAGTCCCTATGCAGAGTTTTATTTTTAACATTAAAAGTTGTCAGAGGAGAGAACAAGTGCAGTTTGCAAAATTAAAGGGCACCCATTTTACCCCTTTTACAAAATGTAAGATAAGCCTTTGGTGTCTCAAGAATGTGTCTGTAAAGTTTCAGCTCAAAATACCCATCAGATCATTTATTATAGCCTCCAGAATATGCTCATTTTGGTGTCTGAATACACTGTAGCTTTTATTTGAAGCCTGTGGCTTTAAATGCAAAGGAGCTGCTTCTCCCCGCCCACCATTCCCACTTGCGTGTCTGCTTTTCCTGCATTCTTTAAGATAAACTGCAGTCATTGATAGAGACAGACACGAATGAAGTTGAAATACAGCTCATTAGTCAAAATACCAAGTAAGTTTATTCCATTTATTTGTGGTGGAGTTTAATCAAGCTTTTCAGAAATGATGAGTCTCACATAAATGTCGTTTGCAGTTCACACACACACACACACAAACACACACACACACACACACACGCACACGCACAAGCACACACTCACACACACACACACACACACACATATATATATATATATATATATATATATATATATATATGCGTGTTTACTAACAGCATGGGGCCATTTGATGCCGATTTTATTAAAAATACTTCAAATACTTAACACTTTTGTTATAAACTTATAAAAACCATAGAGAGTTGTAACATGTTTTAGAACCAGTTTCTCTGCAAAAAATGTTCTTTGGATCTGTGTACATGTTATTATGGAGACATAGAGTCTGTCAATCAATTTGGTGGGCAGGGAAAACCTCACTCATGTCACGTTCTGGTGGGCCTCAAAATCATTGGGATTTGTGTCCTATTTTAGCATCAGGAATTGTAAAAAAAAAAAAGAGAGAGAGAGAGAGAGAGAGAGAGAGAGTTGTTGGCTTTATATAACTCCCAATATAACAGTGGAAACATACACACAGTAATGTCCAAAGAACTTACAAAAATAAAGTTTCATCATAAGTGCCCTTTAAATAAAAAGGAAAAACACAAATGCATAAGCTTTGGACATTTTAGATTAAAAAATAATTAGTATTCTACTTTAAAAAAAGAAAGTAAACCCATTGCCTTAACTTTTATATATTTAAGTAAAGCAAACTAATCGCTTTTTATAGTGTGCTTTAGTCATTTGTAGTCATCTACTTCAAGTCTATTTCACAAAATAGATCAGTGCAAACAATTAATGTCTGATTTGTGTATTCCCCTTTTGCGGATAAGTTTAGGTGGTAAAAAAATATATTTGTTGAATTATACTGTATGTTGTTTAATTGTAATATATTATTTTTATCAGTTATTTATTCATACTGAAAGCAGAAGATAAGAAAAAGTAACAATGACATACACATATATTTAAACAGTTGTTTTTTTTTCAAACGGCTGCATTTGTATAATTATTTGTGTGAATAATTCTGAACAATTCTAATTAAATGTTTTTCTATATTAGTATTTTAAAAAATTCCCATAATTTCAAGCTGAATTTTCAGCATAATTGCTGCATTCTTTAGTTTTACATGATGCTTCGAAATTCTGATTTTGATCTCAGTAACTTATTTCTTATTATTATTAATGTTGAAAACGGCTTCTGCTAAAATATATTTTATTTCAATTCAATTAACCTTTATTTGTATAGCGCTTTTACAGTGTAGATTGTGTCAAAGCAGCTTCACATAAATGGTCATAGTAAATTGGAACAGTGTAGTTCAGTTTTTAGTCTTTAAGTTCAGTTCAGTTTAGTGTGATTTTAAACATAAACTACATATACAGTAGTCAACGTCTAAATTGGATCTAGTTCTTTTATCAAAGTTGTCTCAGCTATCGAAAACCCCCTATTCTTGACTTATTCTTGTCATGATTTTGAAAAACTTTTTTAATCCATTTGAAATGTTGACTACTGTGTATGTATAGTTTTCATTTATTCATCAAAATTGAATTACATGACATTAAAGGCATATATATTGTTAATGTTTTTAAATTAAATGTAAGATGCTAACACAACATATAAAACACATAAAACAGAAAAGCAGTTTCCAAATTCAAATTATTTGAGTCATTATTTATCACTGAACACTATTTACAAGTGATAATCAATAAAATAAAATAAAATAAAATAAAGTAGTTAAATTAAATTAAAGAATGTGAATGTACATATGCCTGTAAAAATTATTAAAACTATACATAAAAAAACTTAAAATTCCTTCCAAGACAGTACACTGTGTGCTATTTTTCACATATTTATTTTTGAATGCAGAAGATGTCATCTCAAACCATAAATACAATGGAATTTCACCCAGTTCTT